CTCCACAGGTCCTGCAAAGCTGTGATCTCCCCATGGCCTCCGAGTCAGCCATAATGGCAGGTGTCCATAAGTGTCTGGCATGTCCAGGTTGAACTGGGGTCTGCAACTGGGCCTCATGTGGCCCCAGCAAGTGCAGTAGCACCCCGCACCCGTATACCTGTAGCATCATGGCTGGGCCATCTCCAATTTTCTGACAGTAAATTAAGCACAAAGAGATTTTAAAGTCATTGATTCTCCGATTTTTACACTCTTAAATGATGAATGATATAAGGTTTTTTATAACTTAGGGAAACATTTGTAGGTACCTGGGTTCGTGTTTATTTTCAACTTGACATTTTTACCCTTCCTTTTGTCCTATTATGTTATGGATGATGAATGTTTTAAAAAGATTAACTTCTTATACCTGATGTGGCTGGAGATACACTTGGATTGTTTTATTTTCTCTAGAACTTCCATCTGAGCTTCTTCCTTCTTCTGCGCTAGTTTAAGGATATAAAAATCAGGTATACTGATAAATGTTATACTGTGAATTCTGCAGTGTTAATATGTAACTCCTGCATACATGAATCTTAGCTTTTGGTATTGCCAGTTTCTCAAATGCTTTACCTAGTGTGGGATTAACTACAGTAATTTTCTTTTTTTTCAGAGAGGTTTTCGCTATAGGGTGCGTGCGTGCGTCAGAGAGAGAGAGACAGAGAGACAGAAAGTGAGAAATCACCCCCCAGGGGGGATGGCCATGCCACAATCCCTTCTCCTCCATTCTTCTCTCAGGATCTTGGGCATGCACACACATGTGCCCGGCGTGAGTTTAAGCCACTGGGTCTGGGACTCAAACCAGGGTCGACTATATGGGAGTCCAACGACATAGCCATTACACCAACTGCTGGTCCCAACTACAGTAATTTTTCAAGTCATCTGCTAGAATGCAGGCTGTATCTTTAATAAAATTATATATAATATGTTTTATATATATATATGTATATATATACACACACACATACATACACACACATACACACACACACACACACATATATATATATTTTATATATATATATATAAAATCCAATAAAAATAATATTTTTTATCTGCCAGAGAGCATGTGTGCTCACTGTGGAAAGAAGAGAGAGGAAGAGAGAGAGAGAGAGAAAGTGAGAAAGCATCCCCCATGGAGGAGGGGCACACTGCAATCTCTTCTCCATCTCTCCCTCCTTGCAGGATTTTGGGTGCACAAACAAGTCTGGCTTATTTCTCAAGCCTCTGGGTCTCGAGGTCTAGGACTTGAACCATGTGGTTGGCCATGTGAGATCCAGCTACCTTAACCAGCATGCCACCAGTCAGCCCAATATAAAAGCATATTTTGTTAAATAACAACACGACTATAACATTTTAAAATGAAACTTGATGGCAATTTAATTTTATAATGAATCTATATAAATTTCACTAAAGTTAGTCCGACCAAATCTTTTGTGAGGTCATAAGTTTGTTTCTATAAAAGCCCTTCAAATGAGGTCAGGAATCTTTCAACTGAAAGAATAATGACTCCAGTCTTACTTTCCTGGGTGTCTTAGTATTTTACAAGGACCACAGAACTAAGAGCTGGGACAGACTCTTGTGAGTCTACCTACAACTATTCCGGTCTCCCAATTGGTCCTATTTTCATTGGACATTATTTACTATGTCTGGAATCCTAACGCTTAGTGTCTTTAATGAAAAAAACTAATACAAAAATGTTTCAGTGTTCAGCCAATACAAATTTATATGATCAACAAGAGAAAGGAATGTTTGCAGATCCTGGGCTTGATAATTTTTGTTTTCGACGTGATAGGTTTGTTCAGCAAAGCTTATGAATCTCCTCTGCTATCCACAACTACCCTCACCCAAACCACACATGCGCACACACACACACACACACACACACACACACACCCCTCCACAACCAGGTCCCTTTTGACTACTAATCCACGCATAAACTTTAGATCGCCAAGCTTTTCTAAAGGAAATTGACTCCACTGAGCACTCCTTTATTCTCAGTATACATTGCATCACGAGTAATGGTACTAAACTTTCCAACGCTTACAATGTTCCTTAGGAGTGTATCCGTTGAGCAGGCGAAAAAAAATATCTGGAAGTTTATTATTTTTTCCACCAATATATTTGACACCACTTTTGGAGAGCGAACAAAAGGCATACTGTCAAGCAGACAGACCTGGACAAAATGTTACTGTTTGTTCCTCACGAGCACAGAGGTATATTTAAGCAAAGAAAGACATTCCACGACTCTCCTGGGACTTCCTTCCTTCAGCTGAATTATACCAACATGTTCACACCACGGTGGTTCAGACCGAGTTGGAATTTAAAATGCAAACTTCCATTTGCCAATGCTTAAATACCACAGCTATAAAAATGCATATTAGGATTGAAGCTGGCTTTAAAATATCATAGGACAAGTGGCAGCTTATTGGGAAGACAATGTGTATACACATGAAGTTTTAATAGCAGATATGGACATAAGGAATGTCCTTGTCGGACAGAGTCTAGAGTTATACAACGAAGCCTCAAAGTCGCCACAAGTCACCTGGCTTTGGATTATGTTTCAAATCCAGGCTCACGGACATTCATGAAACGGTTTGGCAAAGATGGGCCAAGTTTCGAGCAAGGCTGGGCAGAATGCTTCTTTCATGTGGGACCTGTGTGAAACTCAGTGGTTTTGGTTAGGTTTCTCCTTGAGTTTCACATTCAAACAATTCAAAGTTTCGAAGTAAAATTAAGGGTTGAAAAGACATAGAAAGGAAAAAAAAAAAAAAGCAACAAAACAGGGGGGGAAGAAAAGTACAGTGATTTGCCTGGAAATGGAATGACCATCTACCATCTTGCAAGCCATTCATCCTGATGCCTTTCGATTTTGTAACTGGACTTGTACCGCCTTTAGTAATGCACCTGCAGTCGGCCCTGCTGGACCAAGGCCTCTGTTATCAAGAGGGAGAGTTTTCTATGACAGATCCCCAAAGGCCTGTGGAAGCAGTGAAGCACACGCTCAAGATAAATGAAAGACTGAATATGATGAGTGTACCCTGAAATGTGATTAATGTGCTCCTGATAATGTAGGTCTGAAGGGAGAAAAGTGACAATGAAATGCTTGGGTTTTGGAAATGAAGAATTAGAACATCTATAGGTTTTCCATCCACATTCGAGAGACGACATTGCTTCTGCTCCTAATTCCAGAGGACCTCTCCCATGACATTCTCCACAACCCCACCCTTCTGAAACCCTGCCCTGTGGCCACTTGCTTGCTTCCCTTTTAGCAAAGTGCAGGGAACAGGGAGCAGAAGGCCTCAGCCTGAAAGCCACAGTCTTCACCCAGCGCTTAAACAGTCTCCTGACTGGATTAGGCTCCTTCTATTCGCAACCTGCCACAGACCATGCAGGGAGAGTTTGCCAGGGAATGTCAAACTTGCTATCTGACTGAGGACCCTGAAAATACCCTGTGCTTGGGGTAAGAAAGAAAAGGATAACACAAATGCAACATACACCTGGGTATTCTTTAAAATGAAGAGACTATTTAAGAGTTGACGAAATGGCTAGTAAGTGCTACATGTTTATTCATTTAGGAAGTAACATTTTTTTCTCCCCCATTTCTTCTCTTTCACCTAGAAGTTTCACTAGTTTAAAAGACTTCTGGCTACTGAGTGTTTCTTGGTTTTGTTTTCTTTTCTTTTTAAAATTCTTTCTTGTTACTTCCTTTTTTTGCTGTTGCTGTTACCCAGGAGATCATTATGTGTTTAAAATGCATGTTTTCTTTTGACATGTGGTCTGTGATACCAATAAACATCTTTGGGGAAAAAAAAAAAGAATCTCTAAATTCCAAGGATTTTAGTGTCCATGTTAAAAAAAGCAACAGTTAAGCCCCAGGCACTTTGTAGTTTTGAGGAAGCAGGGCATTCAAGCAAGGGGTTGATAGAGCCCGCTTCTGTGCACTGTCATTTGCTGCTTGCTTTTAGACATCTGCACAGAGGGGAGCAGTGTTTTGTCCCTAAGTCTACTTGATGGGAGACCCTTGCCAGAAAACCCTTTTCAGTTGGGAGCCCCTATAGAATTAAAATCTAAGACATATCAGTGAAGAAAATCAAAGCTCCAGTAAATTATTTAAAGAAAATTTTATCAAAGCATTACACTCTATTCCCTGAAAAAAAAAATGCAACAAACAAACAAACAAACAGAAACAACTAACCTTTTTACTGAACATAGTGAATGCCCACAATCAAAGCAAATGCTATGTTTGAAGTTAAAGTCCACAGATCAAAGTACTTTACAAATGTCAAGTGCACGCATGACGGAGGGGAGCAGGGAGACCAAGATTACACATTCACATTAGTGAAATCCATCAGCAAATGAATGTAACCAGAGATAGCAGCGGTAAGGAATTTTCAAAACGGGAGTCACCTGAATTGTTCTAGGACTATACAAAGTAACGATAAAAGTTAAAACAACAAAAAAATGGAAAACACAAGCTAAAGCAGTTCTCATTCCATCCTAGCAGGTAACAAAACGGCGATTAAAGGAGACTATTGTAATATAACTACCTCATTGTCCTTTAATAAGATGTTTTCTTTACTCCGGTGGTTGCACCTTTTTATTTGTTTTTGTTTAAATGCCCTTAGAAAGTTAAAAATAAGAAAGCAGTCTAAACAACAAAATTATGCTGTCTGAAAGGTTCTCTTGAGCTTTGGCGATCAGGCTTAATTAGAGTTCTGACCTGGTGCTCAGTCACAGTCAAGTCTGTCGAGGAGGTCGGTACTGCAGAGCACGTTAAGAAAGTTTAAAGTTACAGTCACAAAAATACACAGATGCTACGACTGGATTCCAGAACCCAATACTTACCTGCAAATCATTTGCAGTCTCCCCCCACCCACCATGTTCACTATAAATAAGTTACTTGAAGAGCATTCATCACAAACATACCAGACAACAAGTGAGTAATTCCAGAATGAAAATCTTACCTCCAGGCAGCTGTGTTCAACCGTTGGCTCTAAGCAGAGTAGGAGTCAGTGGCCTTTTACATGTAGAGATTGTTTATTTAGCCCTTTTTAAAAGGTCTTGAACTCCAGAGGTTTAAGGTTAAGTCCAATCCAAGTGTCTGAAGGGGGAAAAAGGCAGCAGAGAAGGCAAATAAGAGAGAGAAAGAATCCCAGCTGCTGGGTGGTGCTACTGTTCCGAGAGCATTTGAGCTATTTTCAGCGTTAACAGCAGCAGTCCGCAAAGGGACGAAAATGCCTTACCCGAATCGCCACCCCCTACCCTGGAGGGAAAAAAAACACAAACCAGGAAACCCACAACAACTTGGTTCATTGTGCAAATATTCATTTAAATGTTGAGGACAACTGCCAGCACTACTGGGAAAAAAAAAAAAAAGCCTTAACTAAAATTTTAAAAAAAAAAATGTCCGCAAAGGGACGAAAATGCCTTACCCGAATCGCCACCCCCTACCCTGGAGGGAAAAAAAACACAAACCAGGAAACCCACAACAACTTGGTTCATTGTGCAAATATTCATTTAAATGTTGAGGACAACTGCCAGCACTACTGGGAAAAAAAAAAAAAAAGCTTGACTAGAATTTTAAAGAAACACAGTGTCTTATCATAATCCTCATCATTTTCAAAATGATTTACCTGATTCATGGAGAATCAGATGTTATATTTATGCCTTATTGAGAAAGATCTCACCTGGTTTAACTTGCTTATATTGGGTCTTAAAAAATATTTTAGATCTGCCTTGTAGGACTATCTCTTGCCAGCCTGTTTTTCTTAAGATTGAAGACACATGGTTTCTTTCTAGCACACATCTACATTTCCAGTTTCATCAACGATGCTATTTTTGAAAGGTACTGAGTTGAGCTGTTGACGTTTCTTATCTGTTGGCAGAGACTGGGGACCCTTCGGTGACGTGATGCAGACAGACACCCATCCCCTCTCTGCCTCCACAGGCCAATGAAGGGAGAATTCAGATCAGTCACCAGTGATGACTGACAAACTTGGAGCTTTCAGTTTGTTTCTGGAATTAAAAACTAAGATTTAAAAGTCATATTCATGTATTTATTCATTCATTGACTCACTTATCAGATAGTTTTGTGGTAAGCACTTCTGAACCTACTATCTGCCAGGCACTGAGGAAAATAATGGTGGGCAGGAGGCCTGCAGGTGGCATGGTAGTGAAGGTGCTGGACTCCCACATGACCCACTATGGTTCAAGTCCTGGACCTGGCAGTTGGCTTTCTCACTTTCTCTCTCTTCCTCCCTCTCTCCCTTGTCTCTCTCTCTGGTGAGTGCATGTGCCCTCTAGCAAATTAAATAATAATAATAAATAAATAAAATTAAATAAATAATTCTTTACCAAAATAATGGTGGACAGCGTAAGCAATATCCTTGTCTTCAGTGGTTTACAGCACACAAAAATAACAAGAATGAATAAAGTCAAACTGTGTTGTATTTCGCGAGCTCTTTCTCACCTGATCAAACAATTTGAGCCATACCAACCCAAGATCGAGACCTCTTTCTGCTACGCTAGGGCGATGTGTGTCATCACATCACCTTCTGGCCACCACTGCTTCCTCATTCCGTTTACAGTGCACTGGGAAAGAAAGTTAGCTACCTTCTATCCAGGACACACCAAAGTGTTTCTATAAAACCTTTATCCCAGGTAAAAGAAACTCTTGAGTCTTTCCAACCTTTTAGTCCCCTAACATGCTTAAAGTAGTCAGAAAATGCTGCTGAGAGGCTTTATATCAAGAGGTGAAAAAGGATTCTCCAATCTTAATCCAATAGAACAACCACTTTGATATGTTTTATCAATAGTACAAGATTGGTTATTAGATAGCAAATCCAATTTTCTTTTGCAACTAAGGAAAGACACTTGAATTGGTTCTAGAAAACACTGAGGATGAGGTCAGATGGTGGCACTGCGGTAAAACACAATGCATTGCAAGGCCAACCCACGTGGAAGGGTCCAGGTTTCAGTCTGGAGAACTTTTTGAACACTCCAGACACACGAGTGCTCATGATCTAGGGCAGACTGAGGCCAAGGGTAGACCATGGCACCAAGACTCTGTTAAGGATGCTGGACCAGCAGTTAGTGTAATGGCTATGTTGCTGGACTCCCATGTAGTCAACCGCGATTTGAGTCCTGGACCCAGTGTGGCTTATACTCACGACGGCTGCGTGTGCGTGCGTGCCCAAGATCCCAAAAGGAGAATGGAGGAGAAGGGATTGTGGTGTGGCCATCCCCCTGGGGGATGATTTCTCACTTTCTATCTCTCTATCTCTGTCTTTCTGGCGATCACATGTGCCCTATAGCAAAAACCTCCCCCCCCCAAAAAAAAACAAGACTGTGTTAAGGGTGCCACCTGTCTGTCTCCTTCATTCATGAGAGATATACATAAATACACTTTAAAAGGAAAGAAAATACTGAAGATTATGTATGATGGGCAAGAAGACAGTTACATGGCTACTATTTCAAGTACTATGTTAAACTAGTTAAATCCTTCATCTCAATAGAACTTACATTAAAACCGTGTAGATATTTTAATTGAAAAAAAAAAAAAGCAATTTATGGGGACCAGCAGTTAGCGTAATGGCTATGTCGCTGGACTCCCACGTAGTCGACCGCGGTTCGCGTCCTGGCCCCAGTGGCTTAGAACTCACGCTGGGCACGTGTGAGTGCGTGCGTGTCCAAGATCCCGAGAGGGAGAATGGAGGAAAAGGGATTGTGGCGTGGCCATCCCCTCGGGGGGGTGATTTCTCGCTTTCTGTCTGTCTCTCTCTGTCTGTCTGGCTAGTGCACGCGCCCTATAGCATAAAGAAAAACCTCTCCCCCCCCAAAAAAAAAGGAAAAAAAAAGAAATTTTTCTTGAAATGTCAAACCTGTGAAATAAGATTAACGTTGTTTTCAACATATATACCAGGTTTTTCTTCTTCTTCTTCTTTTTTTTAGAGAGAGAGATTTTTGCAATAGGGTGTGTGTAGTACCCACTGGAGAGATAGAGACAGAAAGTGAGAAATCACCCTTGAGGGGGATGCCATGCTACAATCCCTTCTCATCCATTCTCCTCTTGGTATTTTGGGCATGCACATACATGTACCCAGCGTGAGTTTCAAGGTGCTGGATCTGGGTCTTGGACTGTGGTTGACCATATGGGAGTCCAGAGCCTTAACCACTATGCTATTTGCTGCCCCCTACACCAATTTCCTTTTTTAATAACTACAGAGTCATGCATTTTTCTGTCCATTTATTTTAAATGGTCACATTTTAATATGACTTAAATAGCTGCCAGTTTAAAACAGGATATTTGTTTTACTTGATCGCAATGTTGAACCGTAATTCTAGAGCAAAAGTTGGAAGTCTAGACTCAGACAATTTTTTAAAAAATTGCTTTTATTTTTCTATCATTGTAATAGCTTATAACATAAAGGATAACACATTTGAAAACTGGTCTTCCTAGGCCAGCAGGTGGTGTGGAGGTTAAGGCACTGGCTCCCACACAGCCGACTCTGTAGTGCGAGTCTCAGGCCCAGTGGCTTGATATCACACTGGGTGTGTGTGGGTGAGAATGAAGGAGGAGGGCTCACAGTGTAGTCAGTCCCCCTGGGGATGTGTTCTTACTTTCTCTCTTGCTCTCTCTCTCTCTCTCTGGTGAGTGCACACACCCTAGGGGGTGGGGGAAAAATATCTTCCTTGGGACCAGCAGATGTGTAATGGTTATGTAGCTGGACTCTAAAATAGTCAACCATGGTTTGAGTCCTGGACCTGGAAGCTTAAAATTCATGCTGGGTGCATGTGCGTGCATACCCAAAGTCCCAAGAGGAGAATGGAGGAGAAGAAACTGCAGCATAGCTATGGGGGGTGGTATTTTTCACTTTCTATCTCTCTGTCTCTTTGGTGAGCACTAACGTCCTACAGCAAAAATCTCTCTCTAAAAAAAAAAAGAAAGAAAGAAAGAAAAGAAAAAAGAAAAAAGAAACAAAAGCCTTCCTTGAAAAAGTATGGATGTTGGGACCAGCAGTTAGCGTCATGGCTATGTCGCTGGACTCCCATGTAGTCGACCACGGTTCGAGTACTGGACCCAGTGGCTTAAACTCATGCTGGGCACATGTGCATGTATGCCCAAGATCCCGAGAGGAGGATGGAGGAGAAGGGATTGTGGCATGGCCTTCCCCCCTGGGGGGTGATTTCTCACTTTCTGTTTCTCTCTGCCTTTCTGGCAAGCGCATGTGCCCTATAGCAAAAACCTCTCCAAAAGAAAAAAAAAAGAAAAGAAAAAGTATAGATGTTAATAAAACAAATAAAGATGAGCTAATTCACTACTAAGTCAGCCATTAATTTTAGATTCCAGGCTGCTTGTTTTCCACATCAATCTTAGGTAGAGCTCATTGACTCACTTTCACCTCCCAGGGGCAAAACCCGCACTGGAACACCCAGGCGGTGACCTCGCTCACTGCTGCCAGTGGAGCTGAGGCCCATCTTGCCTGTGGTTCACCAAGGTCTCCTTCATTCCCCACGGATCCCAACTATCCAAACCGCCTATCGAGAAGCACTTTCAACAGACCTGATGTCACAGAGGAGCACAAGTTGGACACTAGGCGTGTTTTTTGTTGTTGTTCTTTTCTTTCTTTCTTTTTTTTTTTCTTTTTTAAAATTTTTACCATAGGGCATGTGCTCTCTCTGGAGAGAGGCAGAGAGAGACAGAAAGAGGGTGAGTGAGAAATCACCCCCTAGAAAAGGATGGCCATGCTGCAATCCCTTCTCCTCCCCACTCTCCTCTTGGGATTTTGGGTACACATGCACATGTGCCTGGCAGGATTTTCAGGCTACCAGGTCCAGTACCTGAACCACAGTCTGCCACATGGGAATCCAGAGCCTTAACTATCATTCCATCTGGTCCCTCACAGGCTTATTTTTAGAAGTTAGAATCATTCGACTAACCAGGGTTCATAGACGGGCTGACATATTTGGGTAGACTCAGGACTCGAACCAGGAACCTCCCCATATGGCCTCCAGGACAGTATAGCAACACCCCTACTGCCTATCCTAGCACAGCTGGGTCAGCCTGTGCATTTTAGCAGCATCTCTAGCCTATATGTAGGC